TGTTAATTAAAGCTAATAACATACGTACGTTTAAAACATAATTTTCAAAGATCCTCTGAAAAAAAATTTAAATGCTATTTAAAAAATTCGCTTAATAATAAAAATGATTAAAAATTATAAAAATTAAAAATATTTAATCGAAAAATAAATATTTTTATTAAATTAATATAATTATTATATAAGTATAGTAACTAAGTATTTATATAGTAACTAAGTATAGTATACTAGCTTAAGTATATTTTCAAAAATTATAAAAATTAAAAATATTTAATTAAAAAATAAATATTTTTTTAAAATTAATATAATAGTTATTATAGAATTATATTTTAAAAAAAATTTTAAAAATTTTACAGTGGCTGTTTTTGCATATTTTTATTTTTAAGTATATTTTTAAACTTTTGTAGTACAAAATGTACAATGTTCTATGATAAGTATGATCTGCAGTACAAGTACAGAACTGTACTGTACTGCACTGTAGAGTAGTAAAAATTTTTTGTTCCGACTTTCTATGCATCCATACGATTGTATTACGATAAAAATTACCCTGTTACCAAATTGCAAACATAATTTACAGAAACACGCGTTTAAATTTCGGTTAGTTCTAGAAATTATTTTCATAGAATTGGTTTCAGTAAAATACCAAATGAATATTTGAATTTTACATATATATTAAAAAATTTCGATCGTATACATTGTAAATATTTTGAATGCATACATTATTAGCTTTTGGAGTAATTTTAAAGTACTTGAATTACTTTTAAATTAATTTTAGATCTTTTTCCTTGACATTTATAAAGAGTATAAAAGTTGAGTTTCTTACGAGCATATATTATGTAACAGTTTCTAATTACGATATGAAGTATGAGATCGTTGAAGTATCAGTTTTCATTTTTAAAAAAAATGCTAAAATATCTTAATTTTTATTTATTATCATTACGATGGTAAAATAAGTTCTCGAATAAAAAACTTAAGTTTTTTTTATAACGCATCTTATTAAAATTTATCTTATTAACTAAGAATACGATGGAAAAATGTCAAATATTTGAATGGATCATAAAATTTGAAAGAAATAAAAAGAGATTGTCAGGATATAAATGCTGCAATATCTTTATTCTTGTTTATTATCAATAAGATGGCTTGATAAAAAAATAATCAATAGTTTCTTTCGAGTTTTTCTAGCGCATCTTGACAACAAAAAAAAAATTATTTTTCGTTATTAATGCAATGGAAAAATTTCAAATATTTTAATGCATCAAAAAACTTTAAAGAATAAAAGAGCAATTTAAAAAATATGCTACTTTATCCTAATTCTAGATTATTATCAATGCAATAACAAAATAATTTTTTTTTAAATAAGAAAGCATTTTTTTGTTAGAATATTTGAAAAACTTTTTAACAAAATTTATGTTATGTAAATGCGATATGTTGCATGAACACCAAAAAAGCATTAAAGGACAAAAAAGAATTTTTTAAAAAATAACTGTACTATCTTAATTTTTAGATATTATCAATACAATAATGACAAAATCAAATTATTTGAAAAAAAATCAAGCATCTAATTAAGTAGACTTTTTGTAGCGAGTCTTGAAAATTTATAATTCAGAGAAGCTTTAAAGAAAAAACATAACGTCGCTTAAAATTTTATTTCATTTTACATTTGTAAAGAGCAACGGGTTAACAAAAAAAAAGGAAATGAAAAACAAAATTAGTCTTCTTTACATACTCTGATCTTTTCAAGTATAATTTTAAGTTGAGTTCTTTAAAAGAAATAAAAAAGAGAAGAAATTTGAGTTGAAATGAAGAAGGAAACGTAACCGGTGAGGGTTTCGTTGTAATTAAAATAAAACTTCAATTCACTCTTTCACTTCACCTGTAACATCCCATGTTGGCGTTGTTTAAATTGTAAAAGCGGCTATATTTTTCAGTTGGCGAGGGATAATTAATTTTTCGTTCTTATTTAAGAAACTCTCTTTATTTCGTTGAGGTAAAATGTTTTTTTAAAAGAATAAGGTCATTTTATTTTCTCATTTTTACCCTCAGAAAAGATATTCCCTGATGCTAATGGGTCGGGGAACTTGTGTCTCTGAATTCTGTTTTAAAAGAAATGTTTTTTTATTCTATTTCTATTAAATTTTAAAAGGGAATGTGTGTTTTTGGAGACTAGTGGAGTTTTATAGAACGGTAAAATAATTGCTTTTGATTAAATTAAGACTAATTAAGTNAAAAAGCCGTTTTGGACCGAATATTTTTTGAAATAATATTAGATAATTTTATACTTAGAATATAAAATGTATATTTTGAATTAGATTGTGTCTACAAAATAATATTTAGAACAAAATCTTTTATCTAATATCCATTTAAAAAAATCCGTTCTGTACCAAATATTTTTAAGAATATTATTAGAGTAATTTAGAGATATTACTTAAATTATCGTTAAATTAAATATTCGCAATTATGCTCAAAGCGAAAAATTCTTTTTGTACAAAATATTATTTAGATTAATGTTAGAATAAATATTCTAAATAGTATCCAGTTATAAAAAAAAAGCCGTTTTGGACCGAATATTTTTTGAAATAATATTAGATAATTTTATACTTAGAATATAAAATGTATATTTTGAATTAGATTGTGTCTACAAAATAATATTTAGAACAAAATCTTTTATCTAATATCCATTTAAAAAAATCCGTTCTGTACCAAATATTTTTAAGAATATTATTAGAGTAATTTAGAGATATTACTTAAATTATCGTTAAATTAAATATTCGCAATTATGCTCAAAGCGAAAAATTCTTTTTGTACAAAATATTATTTAGATTAATGTTAGAATAAATATTCTAAATAGTATCCAGTTATAAAAAAAAAGCCGTTTTGGACCGAATATTTTTTGAAATAATATTAGATAATTTTATACTTAGAATATAAAATGTATATTTTGAATTAGATTGTGTCTACAAAATAATATTTAGAACAAAATCTTTTATCTAATATCCATTTAAAAAAATCCGTTCTGTACCAAATATTTTTAAGAATATTATTAGAGTAATTTAGAGATATTACTTAAATTATCGTTAAATTAAATATTCGCAATTATGCTCAAAGCGAAAAATTCTTTTTGTACAAAATATTATTTAGATTAATGTTAGAATAAATATTCTAAATAGTATCCAGTTATAAAAAAAAAGCCGTTTTGGACCGAATATTTTTTGAAATAATATTAGATAATTTTATACTTAGAATATAAAATGTATATTTTGAATTAGATTGTGTCTACAAAATAATATTTAGAACAAAATCTTTTATCTAATATCCATTTAAAAAAATCCGTTCTGTGCCAAATATTTTTAAGAATATTATTAGAGTAATTTAGAGATATTACTTAAAATATTGTTAAATTAAATATTCTAAATTATTTTAAGACGAAAAAGGTCAGTTCTTTATAAATTAATATTAAGAATGAAGTTAGAATAAATATTCTAAATAATAATGGAGCCAAATAAAAACCCGTACCTATCTAAGAGACATAACTGCTTTTACCTGCATAAGATATGTTTTGTCTAGCAGCTCCATTTAACCATAACCATTGGGATTGTTTACTGCCGCCAAATAATGAAATTTTATTTACATAATGAATAAATTTTTATTTTCTGTTTTTAATACACTTGAATATTTAATTGATAAACTGCTTTCATTTGTTCACAAATTTAGAGAAACTGTTTGAAAATGTTGATAATTCTATATAATTTTGTCTCCATAGAGACAGGAATGATTTATGTTGTCTGAATGGCAACTTTTATAATATGAATTTAATTGTGTTTCAATTAAAGAAAAATAAGCCCCTGAACAATTTGTGGAATACCAATTACTTAACAATTATCATATTCATAAACTAAGAAACGTATAATTGTTTTCAAAAAAATAGAAGTTACTTATTCATTGTTAATTTGATTAACACGGAAAGCTGAATTTATTGTTTTTGTACGTAATGTAAGAAATAAACATTAATATTGAATCCTCAGCTTATGCATTCGTAGCTAACCTTTTAAATTATTCAGAAAATCTTCTCCGTTTCTCTTAAGAATATAAATAAATAATTCTAAACATTTGTCTACATTTTAATATGAGAAATTTATATTATTGTGTATCATTTCTCAATTTGAATAATTTTGTTTCAATTATGCATGAGGTTTCACCGTTGTAATTACTCGAAATTCTAATTCAATTCAATATTGATATTTTTTTCGTTGTATTTTCAATGTTTCTCTTTATCAAAATGTTTATTTTATACCGTTTTCAAGAGTTTTAACAAAAATTATATTTTAAAAAAAACACGTTTTTCAAACTTTATTTAGAAAATTAACATTTTAAGGAATATGTTATTTAGTTTTGAATAAATATTTATTCTGCATAAATTGATGTTACTATTTTTTTTAAAATTAAAAGTCGGTTTAAAACGATCTATATGTTTTGTGGAATTTTATTGTTTCAATTATTAAAAAAATAAACACATAAAAACAGTTTTAAACGCAATTTAATTTTTTTCTTGCAATTTTATATTTGCTGATCGTATTTACTTTAAATTTTTTCTGTTCATAAAGTTATTTTGGATTTTTAAACAATCATTTTTTTTCACATTAATCACTAAACGGAAATGTAAAAGAAAAAAATATTATAAATATTTAAGTTTCCAGAGAGCTGTCTGTTATTAAATTATGCATTTAATGTAACCAAATATATAAATATCACTTTTTTAATTAATCATCATAAAATATATTTTTTGTAAAAAAATTATGTATTTTAAATCTAATATTTTAATTATTTTTTTTTTCGTAATTTAATTAAATTTTATGAAAAAATTTATATTTTTTTATAAAAATTAATTATACAAAGAATTAAATAATGATTTGTTTGAACGAGACATTTTATTTATTGTCGTTAAATTCTTTTCATTTTGATTTGTTTTCTTTGTTAATTTTTAAACAAATGTTTTTGTTTTTTAGGGATAAAATTTTTCGACTAAATTTGGCAAACATCAACAGAACACGATGCGAGGTAAGTGTTATTTACTCATTCTTTAATTATTTGATTTATGCTTTACTTTTCTATTTCAGAAATAGTTAATAAAACTAGTGTTGTAAAAAAATATCTAATTTACGTAGCTTTCTCTATCTTTTTAAATTATCTCAAGTCGATTTGGCATCGGAACTTGGCGTGTTTTGACAGAATCTAACGTAAACAAAATATCAATTGAACAAAATCTGAAGTAGCCAAACTTTCGTTCCGATTAACATCTGAAAAAAAGATAGCGTTTTGACAAGCTACTATATATAATCTACACATTATATTAACTAAATCGATCATCTAAAAAATTAAACGGAAGTTATGTAAGGCAAAAAAAAAATATAGATCAGACGAAATTCTACTTAGAAAAAATATATAGGCCAAAATTGTGTGTATAAAAATATAGAAGAAAGCAAATTAAGTGGAAATATATATATTATAAAAATTTAGTCATGAAAAAAAAGAGTTTAGACTAAATTCTCTGTGTATAAAATAACGCCAAGATAAAACCCTATGTGGAAAAATATAGGCTAGACGAAATTTGTGTTGAAAACTATAGATTAAAAAATATTCAGTGAGGAAATTTATAGATGAGACAAAATAGTAGAAAAGACAAATTACTTTGTTAAAAGGATGTAGGTTAGACAAAGGAGTCTAGCATATTCTGCTTAGGTCATTGGTTCTCAACTTGGGCGATACCGCCCCCCTGGGGGCGGTGGGAGTATGCTGAGGGACGGTGAACTTGTTTTGGGCGGTAGGGGGGCGTTGGATATGTTTTGGGCGGTAGGGGGGCGATGAGCATGTTTTGTCATCCAAATTTAATTTTAAAACTTACGAATGAAATTATTAAATTAAGATTTCTTTAATAAATAAAATTAATCTAAAATTAATATTAAAGAAAAAAATATTAAATTAATATAATAAATAAAAATTATCCGATACACCATTTGTACTAGCAATAAAACGAACTTAAACAACTCCTATTCTCCGATCCGAACCAACACAGCTCAGCGCATGAATCAGCACTGACTTATTCAAGCCATTTGGTGGAAATTAAAGTGCATGAGCTTTCAGTATGAATGCTTGATTTGATCCGTGTTTCTTATCATGGTCTTCGCTAGCTTCCTTACGGTTTCTCCCCCAGTTTCGATTAGATCTTATAGTTTATTTGGTCAGGTACATGAGCGAATTTGGTTGACAAAAAGAAGTGTCAATACATTACCCCGTACTTGAAGTTGGGATTTGTTCAATCACTGTTGAACTCTCATCTACCCATGTGTTTACTTTGTAATAAATTTTTATCTAATGAGATAATGATATCTTACCCTTAGCAGGAGCATTCGCAAAAAACTCATCCTGAGAAACAAAATAAAGATTTGTCATTTTTCACGAACATCTTTTTTAACGTTTCTGAAGGCACCTTCGGTCTCAGGGTTACTAGCAACCTTATCACAAAAATGAGACGATGATTTAATAGCTTCTTATAATATATTAAAACTTATTGCTAAATCTGGGAAAGCTCATACCATCGGAGCAGAGTTTATACTGCTGATTGTCAAGGAAGTTCTAGAAACAGTTTTACACCAACCAGCCGCATCCAATGTAATAAAAAAATATCCCATAAGTAACGATACAGTGAGGCGACGAAATGATGAGATGGCTGAAGCAACTCTTCATGCAAACTTTTGATATCCAACGAATTTTCCCTTTAAGTTGATGAATCAACCTTGCCAGGTAATGTAGGCTTTACTTTAAGCATAGGTCCGGTTTGTAAAGGTAGGAAAAATTATTCAAGGGATGCTTTTTGCAAGAAGCTTGATTATAGATATCTAAGGTAAATCTATTTTTAATACTGTCAAAGATTATTTTAAAGAGAAAAACATTCCTCTTGCGAATATTATGTCCATTGTCACTGATAGGCTTCCGCAGTGGTGGGGCGACATTGTGGGTTTATCGCCCTTTTGGAAAGGGAGGTACCAGATATTTTAGCTGTTCACTGTGTTCACAGACAGCATTTAGTAGGGAAAAAATCTCAGCGAGCGTTTGCATCAAACCTTGCAATATGCAATGATTCATTCCATTCATTCAGAAATTGCATAAATTAATATGCTGAAGAACAATTGATTTCGGGGGAGGAGTCTAACCGAAGGAAAGATGAGCCACAAGGTCAAGTTAAGCCATATCGGCTGAGAGCAAAATTCACAGTAATGCTCTACGATTGATTATTCAGACAGCTGTGTAAGAAAACAATGAAAAATTCAATCCTTTGCTACTATACACTGAGATTTGCTGGATTTCCAAAAGCTTCTGTCTCAATAGGTATTGGAATCTTTTCGACTCTGGTCTAGAGTTCCCTGAAAACAGAGATGTAGCTCTGAGAGGCGGATTGCTATAATTTAAGAAAGACTTTGGTTGATTTATCTGTAAAATTTAATGGTTTAAATTTACCACTTCAAAGCGACGAGCTCAATTTGATCCCTACAAAATCAGTCATTTCTGCCTTTCTAAAAAAAACTCATTTTGTGGAAGCAGAATTTTGGTTGGAATAAGTTCAGCCAAGCAGGCGAAATTTGCTGTGATGATGCAAAAGAATATAGTCAACACCTTGACTCTTTACACATGGACTTTTCTGACCGTTTTAAAGATGTTTTGTTTCCTGGAAGTCCCTTAATGGGTTATAAACCCTTTTGTGAATATTGAAACAGCAGAAGCTCAGATTTACGAGGAATTGGTTGAACTTTTAACTAATGAAACTTTGAAGTGGTGATCGTCTCAGAGAATTATTGCTTAAAGGTAACATCAATCGCCTCTTCCTCCTAACTTGTCGAACGTGGATTCAGTGTTGTTACGAATCTTGTCCCAAAAAAGAGAAATCGACTCGTAATTGTGCAACAAGGGATTTTGCGTCTTCATCTTACTAACAGTATTGAACCAAGAGTGAAGAAATTGGCTCTGAACCATTAAGTACAATCATCTCATTAACATAGTTTCCTTAATGTTTCGTTAATACTACTTTTTAGTGTTAAAAAATTATTTTGGGTGATTTTTTGATAATCTAATTAAGAATAAATTATTCTTTTCAAGCATATGTTTCTTTGTTGTATTTTTTTTCATTAAACGTATTTATCTTTATCATAACAAATAAAGTGCGATTAATTGCCGTGAGAAAATTATATAGTTAATGTACCTACACTTTTAAAAAAAAACAAAAAACAAATTTAAAGCGTAAAAATTGCTTAAAAAAGTTGACTCTTATAATTCAGCACACCTCACTAAGTTCCATCCTCTGAATAACTGGATTTCCACAAAGGGGGGCGTTGAAATGTTTTTTGCTCCTTAAGGGGGCGGCAACGTTAAAAAGGTTGAGAATCTACGGCGTAGGTAGTCTAAATTCTGTATAGAAGAATATACCAGACAAGTGGGCAATCATTATCAAAACTTTTATCACATGATCCAAGTTTGTATGAACAAAATGTAACTTAGACACTATTCTATGTAAACGAAACGGCAATCATTATCAAAACTTTTATCATATGATCCAAGTTTGTATGAACAAAATGTAACTTAGACACTATTCTATGTAAATATAACAGCAATCACTATCAAAACTTTTATCACATGATGCAAGTTTGTATGAAAAAAATATAACTCGGACACTATTGTATGTGAACAAAACATCTGTTGAATTAAATCATATTGTGCCGAAAAGAATATTTCAGTTTCTTAAGCTCTATTCTAAGGAGAGCAATTATCAAAATTTTGTTTCAGTTAAATTACTAGAATTATACGTATTTTGAAATTCTGTTATTTAAGTGAAATTAAATAATATTTATCAAATAAAGAATCTTAGTGAAAAATAAGAATATCCTTCAAAAGCAAAATTAAGTTTTTGAAGAAAGGAGTTTTGAAGGAGAAGGTAAAATATGCAACGACAGTGAAAGTTGGTATAAAAAGCCAGCACTCGTTTCCTAACAAAAGAATGTCCTAAGCCTTCTTCTCTGTCACCGTACCGTTCCTTTCGCTTTTTTGAACTTTCGCTACAACCTGCTTCTTCAAAAAAGCATTTCTTTCCCCTTTTCTTCAATTGTGGAAATAACAAATAGATTTATTTTCCTTTAGTTAATTTTTTTCTTCTACTACAAAAAAAGATTTTTTATTCTTTTTCTTTTTTTTTTACGTTCTATTCCTACTCATTCTTTTGTGCGTCGCCGCTTGCATTTCGGGTAACTTTGCTCTCTTCACTTCGGCTTCGCTACGCTTATACGTATTGCTCTTCGATAAATCGATACATCGGAAAACAAATAGTCATCTTTCATCGTCATCGTATCGGCGACTTCGATCTTTCGCGACGCGCAGGGATTCCTTAGAAAAAGTTTTTTGGGGAGAAATATATGCGGAAAGTTGTCAAAATTATTCTGAACTTAAGGATATTTATGTTTATGTAAATTTTATTCCAACAATTATATTTTAATTTTGGGAATTCACCTGGTAGGTAAACTTTGCTATTTGTTTTGATCTAAGTATTTGGAATTTACACATGGATTTTTAATGTTAGCACAATCGTGCTAAATTTGAGTGATATATCGATATTTTGATATTAGTGGAATGATCATTCTTTAATCATAAAAATAATAAACTTTTCTTTTGCTCAGGGCTAAATATATGCAAAATATTGCTGACATATTTTTTTTTAAATACATTTTATTTAAATATTTTATTTTCTAAATCAACAGGATTTCGATATATTTATCTTTACACAGGTCAAATAAAGTTATGTGAAAAAAAATTAAAAAAAACTTTGTTAATTATATTAATACGTTTGAACTATAGCACTATATTAAACATGCTAATTCATGAAATTTTATTGAAATTTTTTTTTTTTTTAAATAACTAAAACAGTTCATTTTACTTTATTTTCAATAATTCAGAATAAATTAGATAAATCACACACATTTTATTTTCCTGCATAGCTTACTACATTACTATTATAA